AAACAAAATATAAAATATTGGTCAGGCAGGTAGGCTGTTTATATTTTCAAACAGAGCAAAACTAACATGCCTGGCAGTAAACTCTTTTCAGCTGGAATATCCATGGAAACTGCTGGTAGATTATAAGGTCCTAGCAAACCTTACCATAACTTCTTTGACTCAGCAAACACTGAGTGTTAGGCACTGTGGAAACTAGCAGCTACAAATATGAATAGGATGAAAATCTATGTTTGCAGAGAGCTCATACTTGGTTTACCACAGGGGTGGTGCTGCCTCCTAGAAGTTCTGGAAATTTGTGGGGGATTTTGTTGATACAATGACTGCAGGCTGCTAGACATTCTGAACAATCAAGAATAATCTTATAACCCTTACAATTTTCAAATGTCAGACAGACAACTGCTATGCTATTGATATGATATTAATTAAAATGTCTACCATGATCTGAGTGATTGTTGTAACCTAATTTCATATCCAACACAAGGAGGTTTTTGCAGAAGTTTTATACATACGGAATTTTCCAGAAGCTTTAAAACATAAAATTGATAGACAATAGTACTTTATTTTGAATACTAGCCAGATTTGTTCACTATTTCAGAAAAGAACCAAAGCGAACATCAAGTACTGATTTGAACACTAAAGCATATCATCAGTATTGGCTCCTGGTGGGCTATTCAAGTCAATTATACATAAAGGTGCTGACATACCATGACTTCTTTATGTCTTCTTGTGTGATTTGTTTTCTTTCCCTTTATTGTGTACTTATGCCAGTATGTTGATTTAATAAAACTGCGTGTTTAGTTTAAAATATATGTACTTGCCGCTCATTTCAGAAGACAAGGTTGTTCTAAAGAATTTTATATGAACTAGCATAGAAGAAGTCTGCTATGAGAACTAAAGTGTACAAATATAGGTAAAACATAAATACATTGATGATTTTCTGGCTCGATGATAACAATGTAAGAGACACCCAAGGGGTATCAGTATTTATGTTTGAAAATGCAAACTAAATATTTGTAAGATCATTCTTTTCAGTAGTATTTCACTGCTCTCGCACCCCCATCCCACTCCACTGCAAAAGAAAGTCTGGTTTAAGTTGGGAAAGTATTTGTGAAAAGCGAACGTGCAGAGGGTGCTGAGGGTCTTAGGGCACAATCAATAGGCACCTGGGCAATCAGGAAAGCAAGAATTTTGAGTGTTTAGTGCCCCCTTGATAGACTCTGCTACAGTTCTTGTTCTATTAGTTAAGTGGAACAAATATCTTGCATAGAATGCTTTCTTCCCCAAATAGTGGAATTTTACAATGGGTGGTATTAGCCTAAGAAGTAAAATGAAAGACTAGACTGGAATTAAGGACTGTGCTGAAGACTGCTAAATGATGGGGGCCAGGGGATTCCTAGACACAGAGCAGGATTGTTTTGAACTTGACTCTCATGTTTTTTTTAGAAGCTTCAGTGAGAAAATTGTCTTAAAATAAATAAATAGGTAATAGAAATATGCACCCATAACCACTGGAGAAGAGGAAGGACCCCCCTCTACCCCCAATAATGAAACAAAAGGCAGTTAGAAAAGACATTATCTAAAGGATATTATTTATTATTATTATTTTATTCTGCATTGAGAAAAAATTCTCCTTCCTTTTCTGTTTCTTTCCATCCTTTACCCCAAGTTCTACTGCTGTAACAGGAACTCAGAAGATAGCTTTGAGAAGTTAAATAGATGCTTCTATAACTGTAGCACTGTCCTCCCACTGTTCATCAATTTGCTCGAGCAGGCACCAGTAACGTCTCCATTGTGAGACTTGTTGTTACTTTTTCTGGCATATCGAATATGCCACAGGTAGCTTGCCAGGCTCTGCCACTCGGGCGGGATACTCTCGGTAGCTTGCTGGGCTCTCTGAGAAGGATGAAGGAATCAAACCCAGATCGGCCACATACAAGGCAAACACCCTACCTGCTGTGCTATCACTCCAGCCCAGCTTCTGTAACTATGTTATATAAAATAACCTTGACACCGGGGTTTTTAGACAGGTGTGACATGTGCTAATGGTGTCTCACCTTGCAAAGTTAAGACTTCCACTTGACAACATTAATGAGCATCCTAGACAAGCCCTTGAGTACGGAATTTGTCTTCATGGTCATATCCCTTGCAGCTTACCTACCAGGACATCTTCTGTGCTGACCAAATGGACCTAGAATTCTACTTTGCCAAACAATTTTGCCTTGTTCCTGCTTAGATTTGGGTACCTTGGTTTTCCCTCCCTCAGTGAAACATTCTGCTCTTCAATTAAAGAATGACCCTCTCTCCCTCCTTAGAGCATTAGCATCCCTTCATTCACAATATTCACATGTTCTAGAAGATTCATGGTCTAATGCGGGAAGTTGTAGATCATATGTGGGTCTATCAAGATCTCTATTTTACAGAAAGCTAAAGTACAAGAGAGATTTAATAGCCCACATTCCTTTATTAAATAAATGGGGCTGCTAGCGTTTGTATTTAAGTCCAAAATAACCAAATTGATAACCACAGCTTTATAACATCCCTTTTAAGAACCACTCAGAATTTGCCTTATGTATTTCTCATCATACAACCTTACAACATTTAATCACTGTCACTGTATCATTGTCCATCCCATTGTTCATTGATTTGCTCGAGTGGGCCCAGTAAGATTGTGAGACTTGTTACTGTGTTTGGCATATCAAATATGTCACTGGTAGCTTGCCAGGCTTTGCCCTGTGGGTGAGATACTCTCGGTAGCTTGTCGAGCTCTCTGAGAGGGGCGGAGAAATCGAACTCGGGTCGACTATGTTGGCTGCGTGCAAGGCAAACACCCTACTCGCTGTGCTATCGCTCCAGCCCACAACATTTAATGGCCTGTTCAATATATCTACCTTCAGTATCAGAATGTGAGTTTCACAGTGACAGAAATGTTTTACACTTATCCACTCTCACTCTGGTGTTTTGGACATCCTATGTAAAAAAGAACTAGATATTCCAGCTGCTAGAACTATACCTCAGTACTTATAAAAGGCCATTTTGACTCTAACTGTATAACTACAAAGTGTCTATTTCCAATCTTATGTGACACCAAGTCAATTTCACAAACTCTTAAAATGGAAATCTCTCCTACTTATTTATTTCAGGTCACACTATAAAGTCTTCTCTTTGGATGATACTGCATTGTTCAAGATTAGTATTATCTACACACATCTCCACATTTAAAAAAATAAGTGTTTATTATTTAGAAATATTTAGTATAAGGTCTGTATATAATTTAATAGAAATCCTAAAATTTAAATATTCGACAAAAAAAAGAGTTTGGAAGACTAAGTAGTCCCATTTAGCAAAGCAATTTACACTAGCCAATAGCTAAGAGTGAAAACAATCATGTGTATCCACGTAACGGAATACTATACAGTGATGAAAATGAGTGCATGACCTGCAGTGGAGATGTTCTCTTAATAGACTTGTATAAAAGACTCAGTTGCTGAGAACTGCATAAACTCTATTACTATTAAATTCAAATATAAGCAAAACTCATCTCTAGTGTTAGAAGTCATAAATATTGATTAATCTGACAAGGACACAACGGTGACAGGGAAGGATCGAAGAGATTTCTGGGGTACCCGGACTGTAATATTTCTTGACCTGGGAACTAAGTTCACTTTGAGAAACATTATCATTCAATTATAATCTGTACAATTTTTACATGTCTTTATAAAGCTTAAGTTTTCCAAAGTATTCACAATGGAGAATATACATGGTTACCATACTTCATGCAGACTTCTAGGACTCAACCTAGCATTTCTTTGCTATTGATTTACTCATTTACATATGTATATCTCAGGAACTAATTAGAAGACTTCTTAGCCTCCATTTCTTCTCTATCTGTGGGCGAGATGTTGAAATGTAAATATTTACTCCAAAATATCCAAAACAAATATGTGACTTAAAATTTCATTTCTTACCCACTTGGGAATGTCTCATTTATGTCATTTCATTTTTCACACTCTAGCAACATAAAGGAAGTTAGTCACTGCTCATCAATAGTTCACACACAAATTCTACCAACTTGATTGGTACACATTTAAATCAAAATAAAATTCACAGTTTTCCAAATATCTCCAAACTTTTCTCCTTTATACCGGCCACATTACAAAACAATGTTAAAAATAGTCCTACTTAACTCTGAATTTTAATTATTTATTCATGTTTGTACATAAATAACACCAACACACTAGTAATAGTACATATTCAAAAACGTTAAATTACCCAGGAAGAGTGTGTGTGCCTGTGTGGGATCTTTTTTTTCTGACGCTATCAAAAGGACCCAGAAGAGTCACGTAAGTGGAACCAAACCTAAAGCATCTTATAGTCATGACATCCAAATGTAAGTCGAATAGTTTAAAAATTGCTCTCTCGAACACAGGGGATTGCCCTGCCACAGAGACAGGGGGGATGGGGGGATGGGGGGATGGGGGTGGGAGGGATATTATCCATGGTGGTGGAAAATGGGCACTGGTGGAGGGATGGGTATCTGATCATTGTATAATTGAAACCAAAGCACAAAAAATTATAAATCTACAACTTTAAAAAAAATAAAATAAAATAAAGGGGAAAAAAATTGCTCTCTCCTCCAACGTATCCTGATTCTGATCAAGAACACACTCTTGGCGATATTCATCATAATGAGACTGACAAGTTAACCTAGCACAGATGGGGAGAACGGGGCGGGGAGGGGGCGGCTTAATAACCTGTGATGAAGAAGGGCAGTGAATAAAATGGATTTTTTCCTTTTTTAAGCATTTAAACAGAAAAGACCAGGCGCTCCTTCCTTCTCTGCCAGAACGTCCGGGTGTGAGAGGGAGCCCCTCGATGGGGCGCAGCTTGGAGGAGAGGTCCGCTCTCCCAGCGGGGCTCGGAACCTCTCCGGGGTGCTGAGCTTGGCCGGCCAGGGCCGGCGGGGCGGGCGGGAGGCGCGCGCCCGGGGATCTGGGACTTACCACGAGCGCGCAGCACAGCAACTTGTTCATTGTGGTTCCCGGGAAACCTCAGGCGTTCGGAGGCCGCGGAGGGGCGAGGGCGACGCTGCTGCGTCTCCGCAGCCGGTGCATTGCTTTATATAACTGAGCAACAGGAAGTCTCGGTAGGAGCAGCTTTGATCACTCTTACACAAAACTTTGCACCTTTCTTTTTTTAGGAACCTTGGGTGGGAGCAGAGGGGGGTGCGTCAAGCTCTGTCTGGGGTTAACGCTTTCCGAGCCAGGGCGGAAGCGGCTGCAAGGGGCCTGGGGGTAGGCAGCGGGGCGGGGAGCAAGGGCGGGAGGGGAGTCACACCAACTGGGGAAACAAAGCGGCTCTGTCGCCGCTTTGCTTTGAGGTCACCCGGCCCCTTCCCGCCATCAGCCTGCCTCTTGGCAGCGGCGACCTGCGGTGGAGGGGCTGCAGAGGGAGGGCTGGCACCCGAGCTGGTGACCCTCGGAATTGGCCGAGATCCGAGCTCAGCCAGGAGTGAGTCTCAGACACCCGATCTGTTTCTTCTGTTGTGACCCGGTAGGTAGTCCGGGGCTTCCGGAGACCTGGAACAGCAAAGTGTCTACTGCACTGTCTCCCTTTGGGAATATTTGTCACTTTCATCTCCAAGGTAACCTAGAAGGAACTTTTACTCGGTTGGGTTCAAAAGCTCCCCCCCCTACCCCATTGATTTCTTGTAAATCTGATGGAAGTTGAGCCAGAGATCAGATCGTGTACTTGCACCCTCCTGTCCTGGCCAGGAAAATCTTGACGGTGCTGGCACATCTTTTGGCATCCCCACCACCATCATCACAGGGTTAGGGATACCCAACTTGGTGTTCTAAATGCTGCTGTTCTCTTCAAGCTCTTTCCGCTGCCCTCTAGCTGTTGAAGGAAGTTTGGTGCTTGGCAAAAACCATCCTTAATTCTTCCCCATTCACTCCTGGAGTTGCTCATCTCACAGTGGGGTTCCAAGAAGAGCAGGCAAGTTCCCTGAGCATCTCTCCTGCTTACAGAAACTGGAAGCATCTTCATAGAGGTGGCTGGGCTCACGCAGTCAAGTGTTGAGTTCTGTATCTTCTGTAAGCAGACCTTCTGTTCTCACTATGGTCCGAAGAGAAGAAAGAGAAGAATCAGAAAGGGGTCCCCGGGGAAACCAGAATGACTAAGGCATTTGCTCGGGTCAGTATCTGCCCCTTCTAGAAGTCGTTGCACCAGGAGCGTAAAGAGAGTAGAAAGTATTTAGAGGGAAATAAAATCAGTTCTTTTTTTTTTCTGACTGAACTTCAGACAGAGGGTCTCATTCAACGTTGTCCTCTAAAACTGGAACATAACAGCACAGCAGTTTCTTACAAGGCGCTTATAAATAAATGAAGGCAAGGGGTAAAGGTAAAGGTAAAGGCCCTCCCGTTGATCATCGATTTGCTCGAGCGGGCCCAGTAACATCTCCATTGGAGACTTTGTTGTTACTGTGTCTGGCATATCGAATACTCTCGGTTGCCGGACTCTCCGAGAGGGGCGGAGGAATCGAACTCAGGTCGGCCATGTTGGCCACTTGTAAGGCGAACGCCCTACCTGCTGTGCTTTTGACAGGACGCCAGATCAATCCTTCAGTTTCTGAACTTCAGTTTTGACATCTATAAAGTGGGCGATTAACACTTGGACTTACTTTGGGAGTTGGGTAAAATCACCTGCCAGTAGCAAAATACTATATACATAGCACCATATTTTTTGTATTAAGGCCACATTTGTTTATAAGATAAAGACTTTTTGTACACCCCAAAGTGCCCAGTGACAAAAGAGTTAATAAAGAAGCAGTGGGGCCGGAGTCCAGCAGGTAGGGTGCTTATCTCGCATGCAGCCTAGGGCTCAATACTCAGCCCCACATACTGTCTCTCAAGCCCCTCCAGGAGTGATCTCTGAGTGCAGAACCAGGGATCTCTGCACTAAGAATTCCTGGCTCTGTTCCCTTCCCCCAAATAAAGGAAGTAGTGGCATTTCAGTACAATGGAGTATTATTCAGCTCTAAAAAAGATGAAGTCCTGTGTTTTTGCTGCAGCATGAATGAAATTGGAAAGGGTAAGAGAAGTCAGAAGGAGAAAAACCAAGACAGAATGCTCTTATTGATAGTTGATATATAAAGAAATAAAGGAGTGGTATAGACAATGCCCAGTGAGAACAAACCTTTAGACTGACAGTAGAACTGAGATTGTGTAAAGGAGGGGGGAGAACATATATATATATATGTATATATATATATGTCTACACACACACACACACACACACACACACACACATATATATATATCTTTAGTTTGGTTTTGGTTTGCTTTGGCTTTCAGGCCACACTGAGTTGTGTCATAGCTTACTCCAGCTGTGTACTCAGGGATGATGGGGGCATCTGGGGTGGCAGGGATCGAAGTCAGGTCAACCATATGCCAAGCAATCACCCTATGGGCCCTATACTTTATTTTTACTTACCCTATACTTTCTCTCGGTCTGATGAGAGGGGAAGATGGAAGAGTAGAATCCTCTGGACTAATGATTAAAGGATATTGGTTCTTTGGTAGTGGGCATGGTGGCATAGTATTGTGCTCCTAAAGCTTATAACCTTTCTACTTCTTTGTCTCACCTGGAAAGGACCAGTGTTGATTCCTGGCTCTGTGCTCAGGCACGGATCACTACTGGTAGTGCTCAGATGACCATAGGTTGTTCTGCAGGTTTGAGCCAGGGTTGGTGGGATGCAAGGCAAACACCTTAAACCATGTGTCTCTTTGTCTCCTAAAGATTTATATCTTTTAAACCAATGTTGCCTCAATAATTTTTTAAAAAATAAATTAGAGAATGCCAATATTCTGGCGTCAAGTTTCAGAGAAAGCTGATTAAGGACTGAGTCCTATACTCTGAGCTCTGAGAGGGTTTCATGCTTCTCTAAGATGCAGTCTCCTCCTAGGTGAGATAAAATTAATGGTATAGTTGGGCTGGAGTACAGCAGGTAGGGCATTTGCCTTGTATGCGGCTGACCCAGATTTGAGTCCTAGCATCCCATATGGTCCCCCGAGCACCACTAGAAGTAATTCCTTAGTGAAAAGCCAGGAGTAACCCCTGTGCATCTCCGGGTGTAACCCAAAAAGCAATAATAATAATAATAATAATAATATTGGTATAGAAATGTGGGAGATAATAAATGCATTTTAAAGGTTGCATAAATGATTTACATGTAAGATCGCTTAGCACAGTGCCTACCCCAAGGAACAATTTACTAATTTGTAATTATAGTTTTCCTAGGGGAGTACTAATATATTGATCTTCAGAGCCAGACACCTGGACTTGAACTCTAAATCACCCCAGCGCTGTGACCTAGGGCAAGTTACCTAAGCTAGTTGTGTTTCTCTTTCCATTTTTCATCTCTCTAGTAGAGATAAAAATTATACCTACCTTGGAGGATTATGAAGGTTATCATGAGGATTCCAGTTGGATGAAAAGTACAGAACAGAAAAATGTCTAACAATTATAAGTGCTCATTAACTGCTAGCTATTACTACTCTTCTGAGATGAGTCTAGATAAACTCTTGCAAGGGCGTGATGCATATATTTTTCCATATTTCTTAGAACTTGCAGCTGAGTTTTCTGGATCCCTGAAACCAGATAGTTAATAAAAGTAATAGTGATTGGTGTTAGTGACTTGTGTGCAATATTTGTGTGGTTAATTGGCTGTAATCTTGAGAATTTATGGACAATCATGAAAGAGACTGTGTATTGGCTGTTTCCTATAGCCTGCCTGGTCCTTTTAGTAACCACCCATTTATTAATCACTAATGACACAGACAAATGCTATGAGCTACCTGTTATTTCATTTATCATATTCCTGAGCAATTTGGCTGTCCCCGCACTCTCCCTGTCACCTGCTATTGTCAGCAGCATAACCTAAGCACAGTAATGTTAAAGTTCATTCATCTTAAGCACAAATGGAGTGGACCCAGAAACTCAGGACGGAGCCAAAGGGGACCGTTTAACATGAGCCTGACTGACTACATTATCTTCCTGTGACAGATCCCATATTGACAGAGGTCATCAATGACATTAAATAGAGTGCCTTGTAAATGTACCTTTGTCTCTGGGCACAAAAGAAGTGTGATATGCATGTCTAGGTAGCTCCTATCAGATCATCCTAATCATCTGACTCTTTCTTTGGAAAGCATCAAACACATTTTTGTTGTCATGATTCTGTCATTGTCCCCATTTCAGCTACTCCTAAGATATAAGGAAGTATCTGCACATTGAGAACTTCCGTGATGAAGACCACTCATCTCTAGCACTGAAGTAAGGTTCCTGATCCAGAGAGCCATTAAGAATCATCATGATCATGGAAATTCCTGAAACAGTAAAGCAGTGGATTTAGGTCATTCTGAAGCCCAATACATACTCAGGCTTAGAAGAGATTGATCAAGTATCCAGAACAGCTTACACCTAAATTACCTCACTTGAAAATTAGAAATACTATTTATAAGGCTACATATAACAATGTTTATTAATTTCAAGAATAGAAACAAATCTCTTATAATTTCATTGTTATTGGAAGCATTCTTTTTCTCGGATTTTATTTTAAAAAATGGAACAGAAAAGAAGGAAAGAGATCATAGAAACAGTCTATTGGATTTTATTGTATTTTATTCATATTTGTGAGAAAAATATGTCCTCGCTGGGGCCCCTTGGGGGGGCGGGTTCAGTTTCCCTTCCCCCCTGAGCAGAACCCCAGCAGAGCCCCGAAGACCTCCAGAACCAGCCACAACCATGCTGAGACCACTCCCCACATGCATGAAGGTACCGGCAGAGGAACAAAGGCATACGGGTCCTGGGGCTGAGATCTCCAAGCCTACTCGGATCAGAGCTGAGCATCCTCCACCCAGATTCTCCATCTACCAGTAGGCGGGGGTCACACCCACCAACTGCCCCGCCAGCTCTGTGTAATCCCATCAACGGCCAAGACCCAGAGACTATAAAACTCAGCTCCCGGAAGCGCACAGCCGCATTCGTGGCCGTGCGACATCTTATTATCTCATTCTTGCTTTGGAAAACCTGGCAGGCTACCAAGTGTAGCCTACCCACACGGCAGAGTCTGGCA